GTCTTTCCAGTCCAACAAGTAGATTTAACAGTATGTAATTAACATTTAATTGCAGTATCATCTTTACATGAATTCCATTCTCACTCTGGTGCAGGTCAAGTGAGAACAGCCATAAAAACAAACTGTCTTTGTCAACAGAGTTACATGAAGAACATCATGTCCTGCTACAGATGCCAACCGGTCAATGCAGCACAGGAGGAGCTCACAGTCTTCACACACTTACTGTAAAATAACCTGTACAGTGTATTGGCAAGGAGCCAACTAGGGAAAAGGAAACAAACTGACGACAAAGATTAATTATAGAAAATTATGTCTCTTGTCCTGTCAGTGTCACCTTTCCTGTTGTGCACCCTTTTATTGTCCTAAATTGCAAAATAGTGTTGCAACTGATTCTATGTGAAAATCTGTTTTGACAGTACGTAGGCTCAGCTTGCCAACTAGGCTATTAATTATGCATGCATATTGCCAAACATTCATTTCCCAAACATCTTAAAAGTAACATAAGAACCCGGTTTGGATCCACCCTCATTAGGCTCTTATGCTGTGTAACATACAGTCAACGCTGAAGGGAGAAATACATAATGTCTTTCACACTTTTCCAATATTATGCAAGACTTCCAGATGTTGATTGGTACAGCTCTTGGCATTGTGGGCTAATGTGTGTAACGAAAGAGCTGTTTCATCTTGCTGACACAGTGACAGGAAGTATTTTAAATTCCTCTCCCTCTCCAGCCACAGACACACACATAAAAACACACCACGCTCAAGTTTATGTCTATTCACTATCACTATGGCAAGAAAGTAGTTGTTAATTCTCTCTACAGATTACTGGCTTGGTGCTCTACACATATTGGAGTAAAGGCTGAATTTATATGAATTAAGGACGTGTAGAAGCACATATTTTCTTACACTTTTATTTTTTTATTTATAACACTATATACTTACTGGATGAACCGTTTTCACTTGACATGGTTGACCAATTCTGATCAAAACACTTAAAGGAAAGTGCAGATGTATCATATGACCAAGTCTTACATTCTTTCACTGTAACCCCCAGTGAACCTTTCATCTGGAGATATAAGCAGCTTAAGGTCTCGTGCAAAATCAAGATCCATGATAAATGTGATGGAAGTGGTAGCCAAAAGCACTGATATGGCCTTAAAGGGTGAGCTCTGACCACCGAGCCCCAGAACTATGAAGTCCACATTCCTGCTCACGGGCCTGTTTTGACTCAGATAGATTAAAAGTTATAAATAAGGTTTTATTTATAAGTTTCAAAAGCCACCGCCCTCTGTATCAGAGCTGCTAAAAGAAGCTCAGGTTGGGAAACTCACACAAACTTTAAATCATTGATTATGTTTTAATTTCCTTTAGTTTTTTGAGGTGATGCTTTGGTTTTAAGGCAACCCTGAATCTACAGAGTTAAGATTCCCACAACACAAATTAAAGAAATACAATGTGGCCATTAAAGAGCCACAGATGTGTGTTATAAGTACACTCTTGAAAGCACTGAAACCCCCAGACCCTACAGTGTAAGTGCTAATCAGCTTGCCTAATTTTTAATCAATGAAAATCATGTTATATCAGATCACAACATCCATGCCTTTATATTCACATAAGACCAAGACAGCTTATTAAAAGCTTAAAACTTGCAACTTCCTGCCACATTTCATTGTTAATTACGCCAGTTTCCTGTTAACTTCCATTCAAAAGGCCCACTGATACAAGTATACTCAGTTGCCAAACTATTTGGTACAATTAGTTAAAACAAATGCAGTCCTGCAGGTTATAATGTTATTTTATTGAAACTATTTAAGAGAGTTGCTGAGTCAACTTCATGGTGACGCTGCTGATTTGTATTGCGTTACACTATGCCATGTTTCTAAACTTTTGTTCACCATTATTTAATCCATCCATGTCTGTAAACCTCCAAAATGACTATAAACATGAATTAGCACCTCCTGTCTGAGCTTGTATCTAATAAACTGTCCACTGTGTGTCCTCAGGAGACCTTTGCCACAGCAGGCAGTGTGACCCGTGGTAGCACAGCTGTAATTAATAACATTAATTATCTCTGCGTCACATTTAGTGAAGGTCCTGTTACCGACCTTATTACTGAAAACCACTATAGAAGAAGTTGAGTCAGTGTATGATTTCTGTTTGAGTGAAAACAGGTCAGAGAAGTGACACAGTCAAGTAAAAACCACACGGTGCTGGAGATGTAGATCATGTCAGCAAATTTCTGCAGACTATTATCAAGCTAATCAGTAATCAGACAACTCCAACATTTGAGGCCCAATCGGAAACAAGAAACAGCATAACCTCACATTACTAAGCCAATGTTATACTGAAAACAAAGCAAAGGTTCGTGCATCGTGTGTGCAGTACACAAAGTTGTGCTAAAAGCTCAAATTCAAGGCCATTTTCTAGTCATTAACACTTCCCAGCCCCATCATAGCTGTGAAAAGGAAGCAAGCTCTGATGGCAGAGCATGATCTTCCGTGTTAGGCAAGAAAACACTGCGAGCAGTAAACAGTCAGAAAGAACAAGTCTTTTTCAGCCTTTCTAAAAACAACAATGTCAGTACCTGGCCTCCTCCACTGGATGTAGATCTCTCCAAAGGAAAACATAGCACAGAAAGCACTAAAAGCTGGCTGGAAGACCTGTGAGACTTCTTCACTATGAATCACTGCCTGTGGTTGAGTGGTCTGCCAATTACCTTCTTAATATATTAACTTTCCTTAATCACCTTACAAATTGTGCGTGTTAAACTCATTTGGGTTCAGAAGAAATAACAGTGGACAGTCTCACGTTGCCCACAACCTTTTAACAGACAACAAACGAGGCCCTGTTGCACTACGGGAGAGATTAAGGTGGCACATAATACAGTGCTCCTCTCACTGACGGGGCCTCAAAGGCAGCAGTTAAATAGCACTCTACAACCAAGTGTGAACTATCGTAACCGAATTTATTGGTGTCAATAACCACAACAAAAACTATTGTGTCTGCGATCACACCAACAGCTATGTATAACTGACCTGTAAGGTGTGTTTATGTTCTTAAGTGATCACCAATAAATTAGTGTATTAGTGTATCTCAGACAATATCAACATTAAAAATAAAATTAGTGCCTATTTTCTTTTACTGCCATTTGTTGATGTCATTTAATATGAATTAGAAACTATGAATACAATAATTCTCCGAATACTGATTTTAATATCTAAACACAATCTATTAGCTGATACACAGTAACAGTCTACCACCATCTAATGCCAGAAGAAGAAATGTAGGTGGGAGCTCACCACGACTGAACTGATGTAACTAATAGCAGAAAATTAATTTTACAATGATACCACCAGACAAACTGTATTCAGTGTGGATCTGTCATGTCTGACCGATACCAGATCCACCAATTAAGATCAGTGTTGGTGGCAATAATCGATCCATGTGTCAGATCAGTGCAGCTTCTGTTACCAACCGGTCAATGTGGGACACTCACAGGCCCGAAGCTTCATATTCAACAACTGGTAATTAGTTTCTGGTACCAAAAAAAGAGGAAAGATTAGACTTGAATTTTGCTTTGTGATCAATAAGTAATAACCAAAAAATAAGAAAGGCACACTGCTTTACACAAATTAAAAAAGCCTTTGATAAACAGGGTTAACGTCTATGTGTCTTCTTCAGGGCATTTAAAAATCATATGGCAGCTCACATTTAATGATATAATGTAATTTAATTGATCACTAATATGTTTTGTACAACTGTACACACCACTAAATAACATAATGAAATAACGAAACTTCTTACCCAGTCTTGAGGCCCTATTTTGTAGAGGGTCCTTAAGCTAAACTAGTCTAGTTTTGAAGGCCTTTTAAAGGAATTTAACTTTTTAGAAATGCATCGTTCAGAAACTTACCACAAACCAATTAGTAACATACAACGTGCAGAAAGTGAAAACTATTGTGGTCTTCTTTTGAAAAACTTAACTACCTTATTTCATGAATGTCTGATAACATTAACATGTGCTGCACTGCATGTGCACTAGAACTTCATAAATAAAGTCCCTATCTGTAGGGGCTCATTTGAGTTTGACACAGGGCTACAACACGTTTTTAAAAGGTGCTATTTAAGTTGATTAAATATTTTATATGAATGTATTAGAAATTCTACTCATGATTTTGTGGTATCTTTATGTTATCTGTCTTACGTTGTTTGTCTTTAACTTGTTATTTGTGCATTTTGTGGCCAGCCTTCCTATACAGATACAGCTTTACAGCTTTACAGCTTGAGCTCTACCTAAATATCTGTTCTGGCATTTGCTCCTTCAATGGGAGTTAACCCAGTTGCTGTGTTTGCCAGGCAAGTACTACCACCCATGCAGACCAGCAAACAAAAAGCAGCTTTAATCATTTGTCAGGGAGTAGTGGAAGACCCACCCTGGGCAGCTGTCCAACACAGAGGCCAGGCCAGCTCCTTAAGGACAATCCGGATATACACATACCATAAACCTGAAAGGGTGCAACACAAAGCCTGACACTCCAATAACGTGAAACTCAGAATAAGATCAAATGAATTGTTATGAGCAACCATGCATCTTTAAAAACTTTCTGGCTACCAAAGCTGGTATCTAATCTTTAAAATACCTCAGAGAGCAGGATTTATCAGCAGCAGGCAGTGTGAGGCACACAAAACTTATTCCCACAAACAAATTAAAACTCAAATCGATTCACTGTAACAAACAGACAATCTAATGACCCTCAGCTGGTCCTCATGTGGCAGTCACTGGTGGTCAGGCGACCGCATAAACCAAGAAATATTCACTTTAATGTCCTTTATTTGGACCCTGCCAACAAGTCTATGTTGGATGCCAACTACCCAGCTTCCTCTGTCAGACATATTGCAGCATACATATGGGTCCAAACGTGCCTAAACGCTGCGGTAAATGTTAATAACTTGAGTAACGTCGTTGTTTTAAAGCGGTGTTAGTGTGTACCAGTTATTGGGGCGAGTGTGTGAGAGGCTAACGAGGTCTGGGTACAACCGTGAGAAGAGGATCGGGCAGGTGTAACAATGTGTCCCGGCTCTCTGTGAGTATGTGAGGCTGGATTTAACCAGCAGTTTGAAGAGCTGTTACCAACACACACAGGCGACTGAATTAAAAATTAAAAGACCACTTTTTTTTAAATTTTAAGTCTCTCGCTAACTCTCCTGACAGATGCTGCGGACTGATATTTCCTGGAAACTCACTTTAGGTACAGTTACTTACCCCCGGGGCGTTGTTGTTGCTGCTGCTGTTGCTGCGCACCGTGTCGTCAAACAGTTACAGTTGGATGTTTCGGTTGGAAGCGACCGTTGGAGACTTTCTCCCAAACGTGGATAAATGAAGACTTTACTTTCTCCGTCGCCTCTGAGCCATTAGCTGACAATGAGACCAGCTTCATTAAGACTGAACAGCGGCGTTACTTTCCGTGGTTGAGAAACAGCTCCTCCTCACGGAGCCAACGGCCGTTACATGACTCACAGCCAGCGTCAGCGGCCGGGGGAACGCCGCCATTACAGCCACCGACCGGCAGAGGGCGCCATGGTTACCACTGTACACTACCACACTGATACAGGGGGAGGACTCTTTACTCAGGCCTTTGGAGAGTAACGGATTACATGTAACGACGTGACAAACACAGTAACAGTTACATTTATTAATAAAGATGGCTGTAGCTTTCGTTACCTTACTTGCTATAACCTCTGATGCTGCTAAATATATAAAAACGTATCATATAAATTCTTCATCTTCAATCTCAAAGTCCTTTCTCTTCAGGGAGACCATTAAATATGTTTCTATTGGTACCTGAACTAAAACAGTGTAGACGTTTGGTTAACTTTAGTTATGTTTGTATTCACTTTTACTTGGTAGGATGTTGAATAATAATAATAATACTTTCACCTCTGATGGATTTATGTTGTAATAAAAATAAAGTATAACTTCACAATTGTAGAACAAAATGTGAATTACTGTCAGGCTTATGTGACCACAGACTTCATTTTCTGTACAAAAATCAGTGAATGAAAGGAGCCTGTGACTGAAACACTAATAAGTTTTGGCACATGTACACAGATCAGTCTCTAGGGGCCACTAGAGGAGTTTCACTCATGTTTGACGACATATTTAGACTCAGAGCCATCTTAATTAAGCCAACATTTATCTATTTATTCGATAAATGACATTTTACAAACAGCATTAAGTGCAGGTGTAAGGCATAAAGACAAAATATGAGGTTTGACACATCATTTTGAAACAGTTAATAATTCAACAGGTCAAATTATTAAATATTTTATTTCTGTACATGAGCAACCATGAGACGAAACCCCCAAAAAAGCATGAATGTATCCATGCTGGTCTTGTCTTTGGTTCTACCTCCAGCTCTGACAGCTCTGATGTAGGTCTTCTGGCTTCTGTCTGTGAAGTATTCCTCGGAGTGATGAATTATTATGACGAATTGTCTGTTTCACTCGGTTTCTTTGGCACATTCTGCTGTGCTGAGGTCTTCAGTGCCGTATCAAAATAAGGTCTGTAGATATAAATACCACCAACGACTCCGAGCAGTGTGACGAAGGCGATCTGTGAGAAGGGTATTCTTCTTCGAAACATGATTTCTTAATATGAAATCCCAATGATGAGACACAAGATGATCCTGAAACAAGAGGAAAGTGGTGTTAGACACAAGACACTATGAATTATAATCTAAGTGTCTTTTTTATCGTTTTCCATCTCCTGTTGAATGTTACATGTTCTTGCAAGATTTTAGGCATAACTTGTTGCATGGTGAAAACTAACTGCTGTGTTGTTGGCTGTACTCGACCAAAGCTACTGTTATATATATTATCCAGAGCCACCACATAATATTTCTGTATAAACTGCAACATTTTCAAAATACATTTTAAAACTAAATTATAAATCTAAATGTGTGACCAGCCACAGGATCCTCCTCATGTTTCTTCATCCATAAGTCCAGTCAGAGGTTACCTTCAACCCTAAAGTCTGGGGCGTTTTTACAGGACTGCGGGTCCATCTAAAGCAGGGGTGTCAAACTGATCCATGAAAGGGCCGGTGTGGCTGCAGGTTTTCATTCCAACCATGCAGCAGCACACCTGACTTGGTTCATTCAATCAACTGAACTGTCTTCACACAGTCATTTCAGGTGTCCTCTTGCTTGATTGGAACAAAAACAGCCACCCTTGATTAAAGCGTGGGTGTGGCTGCAAGTTTTTGACTGTGTG